CCCCAAAACCCCAAAACCCCAAAACCCCGGTCTTTAATATTTATGAAAATCGAGTAGATCTAAAAATTAAGAAATTCCTAAACAAATATCTATTAATTAGATTCTAACCACGTTCTGCTATTTTCACCTTTACCTATCTTTCTCCTTCTATTTACTAGCTTCTAGTTGTTCTTCAAGCCAATTTATATAGAATTAAGGATGATTTCTTTTTAAATAAGAAGCACTTTTCTCCATTATAAAAGTACTAATTTGAGATTGCCCATTCTCGTCAGTAATTTTTTGAAACCATTCAATTTCAAATATCTCTCTGGATTTTTATTTTTATGTGTTCTGACTAGGTTGATTTTCCCATCTGCTTTTTAGGATTTTATTTGGTTTAAATTACGGTTTAATTTCTACTTTTTATTACCAATTTAAATTCTAATTCACTGTTATTTTACCTTACTATTTACTTTTCGAGGGCTTATATTGATTAAAGATATTGCTCGCTGGCTGTTTCATAAAGGTATCTATAATTATGGGAGGTAATGCTTAACCATAAATGTCTTGTTCTACTTATGATACCATTCTTGGATCTTAGAAGTGCCACTAAGCTCGACCAGATTAACTATTGAGACAAGTAGAACCGTCAATCGTTTACTCAGAATTGCTAAAATTGTTTCAATTATTGAGGTTTTAGTTGTTGATACTGAAAATACTTTTCATTGAGTTATTGTTGCTTTCGTGAAAGTAATAATTTTCTTGTTAGTTTAATTACATATTTTGTTCTTCAATCGGATTTTAATTCTATAAGGCATCGTTGTTCTCATCAAATAAACCTTAAAAGATACTTTGATTATTTAAGCAATCTATTTGTGATTAGCTATTGAATTCATTGCAGACATCCAAAACAGAATAGTCTTAAATATCGATTTTTTACATGCCAGTACTCTCAGGCTCATTAGCAGCATATTGTAGACTAAATTGCTATTAAGGACCAAATAACTGAGAAGATTAAGTTTCATTAATATGGTCTTCAGGATAATAACTAAATGCCTAATTATAATCATAGACTGACTATGTTTGGTAGTATGATTACTAATTAGCAGGAATTATTGGACTTTTCTAATTACTCTATTGGTTTTAGTTAAATGCATTAGCTTATTCCTGTTAATCACTTTTATTATGATTAAATTGAGTTAATATTTGCACTGAAGCATCATAATCATCAACTTAATCATCCACTATGTTTATGATATTATCATTTTGTATTAAATTATTCTATCCCTCAATAAAGTTTTATTGAACAATTACTTTTTGTACTTATTATTACTCTTGGCGCTATTAGTTTGAACTGTTTGAGATCTCTTCAAGATCTATCTATGGAATAGCTTGTTGAGATATTTAGGTATAAACGGATGGAGCAGGTACTTGATTTAAGTATCTCAAATCAATTAACTTTTACTATGATTCGTTAAGTAAAACAGAAATTAGAGATGGATTACAGTCATCTTTTCCAATTCCAATTAAACGGCTTTTGATTGAGCTCTATTTTAGATGAATGTCTCTGGAACAATATATTTAATTTTTTTAGACTGAGATATTTAGTGGATATCTATCTCTCAAAACACTCTGGACTCTAGTATTTTTTTACTGATGCTTAAAATCCTACTACTTTACCTTCTCTTACACCTTTTATGTAATTTTGACAACTCAACGTTTCAAAAGATTTTTTCGAGTTTCTTAATTAACTGGTAAATCTTATTCAATCTACTGTAATATTTAAAGGTTTCCTTTTTTATCCATGCTAACTGGTTAAATCTATTATTAAGATAAATCTTGATTTAAAGTCTGCTAAACTTTTGGTTGTTAACCTTCGTCTGCTATTATAACTTTCTTAGATTCTTGTTTTTTAGAGAATTAGCTCTTATTAGAAAGAAAAGGATTTTGAGGCTTTGGTTCAGGGGGAGAATAATCGATGATCATCGGAGATTAAAATTAGAAGTTAATAGGTTCTGGAGAGAGACAGTTTCAATTTTAAAGTGCTCATTACTATTAAGCTCTAGTCCTCACTCCAACTTCTAATAGCTATTCGGATTTATTTTATGGTGTTGATACTTTTTCTCTCTGTTTCTCCTTCTTTTAAACTGCTTTATGACTGATTACTTGAGTTCCTTGTTTTTCTTACTTTAATTAATATTATGATTTTTCTTGCTTTATTTTAAACTTTGGAGGGATTACTACTAGAGCTTATTTTTAGGTTGGTGAGTTTTTGTCATTCTATTTGAGTTTTTATTTTTAGCCACCTTTATTCTTTTGCTGCATTTTTTCTTTTAAATTATCAGCACTCTCTAACCTCTAATTGCTCTCAATCTCTTCTAGGTCATCATTAAATGATCCAATTAAGTCAGGTACATCCTCAAGTAAAATGTTTTCTGGTTCCCAAGTGGTTCTTTTCTTACCGTAGCCGGACCACAATACTTAATAAAAGAATTAGCCTTTTTCAGAATTGTACCTCTTATCAAGCAATTTATCAATATTATACCTTTCTTCCTCCCTCATATCATCTTCCCATGGTCTGCTCTTTTTAGGTTTCTTGCTTCTTTTTTTCGAGTTGAAGGATTTATTTTTTTCTTGATTTCCTTTCATTCAGAAGAGCTGATTACCTATTTTTTAAATTATTATTAAGCAATGATATTTAGTAATTATGAATAATATTACGCACTGATGATTTTGTAAAAATATATATACTTTATAACCTCTTATTAATCTTTAGGGGTTTTGGGGTTTTGGGGTTTTGGGG